TTCAACGTATCACAAAATATCGAATGGAAATTCCCATTTTGAAATAAAATATTTCTTATGGGTTAACAAATTGATTATATGTTGAGAATTGAGGAACAAAAATTATACTAATAGTATAAGTGAAAAATTTTGGAATTGTTGTTTTAGAATAAATAACCATAAGTTATTTATTCAAATTTGTATCCAAGATTAGAAACTACTTTTGAACTAAGACGCGAAATTTCTATTTTCTTTTTATTTACTTCGAGTTATTTAAATTTTTTAGGAATTCTATTTCTAAAACATTCTTTCAACCTACAAGTATTTTCCTGTTAGGCATTGGCATAACCCTCTAAAGAACGACATTATCGATAATGTGAAAGAATTAAGCTGTCTGGAGGATGCTTGATCATCAATAAAGCATATTGGAGCAGTGATTTCTAAATTTAAATTTAACATTAACCAAATCTTTATTTGCAACGAAATTGAATGAAATTAAATTTAAAGCGAAGAGTTGCTTGCAACCATTTCGGATATGTAAAGTTTTATTTTTAAAATCACAAATTCGTTGCTCAGGGATTCTTGAATGTTTTGTTTAAAAGCCTTAGAAATATCAATACATCGATCTTCATCCCATGATTTGGATGCTTACTAGCAATATAATCTCTCTAGTTAGATTTCGAATTACGACCACTGTTCTCTACTGCTACTATAGCTGTTTTTCTAGTTGTTATTTCTGTTGTGTAAGCAAAAGCAACAACAACTTGCCGTTTTTTTTTTTTTCGCTGTGGGATGAAAATGAATGAGAATCAACATTAGACTCTAATCGCAAAACAATAAATTAAGGTACGAAACGGAAATGTGATAATTGCAGGTGTATAGAAAAAATAAAGTGGCGAAATAAATCGCGCCAAGTTGCAGATAAAAATTAAGATATACCCGATGTAGATAATAAGCGATAAGGACTGTGAATTTTAAACGAGTTGTTAAACAAATGCAAAATATGCGCATGGAATGTGGTTAAATAAGCAACAACCAGTGGCTCACTGACTCATTGCCTCAAGCTGTCAAGTAAAACTTGACACACTGAAATAATGCGCCAAAATTAGCATTTATTCGTCTTTCTTTCTTTCTACTCAATGCATGCCTTCTCTCGCTAAAAATGGCAAACACGTGCCCACATTAAACGACGATAGACTGCGCTGCTGAACTTGAAACACATTTTAATTGAAATTTGAAAAGTCATTAAACTGAAGAAAACAAGAAACTAAAAATAAGCCACACTTTGCAAATAAAAAGTTGCCAAAAGTCGTTAATGACTAAAAGCAGACACCCTGTCTAAGCTGTTTTTTATTGCGTGTCGTGATTATTGCGGTTTGTGGTATTCTCTAACATTTAATAGACATAGACATCAGAGATGTACAGGGGGGCAGTGAAGAAACCCCTTTCTAAAAACATCGTCTTGATTGATGACGTAGTTCTAGCATGAGTCAAGTAAAGCCAAGTGTAGGAATGTTGGTGAAGGTTCTCGACTTGCGGATTCAAAGGTTCGTCCAGCATAGAGAAATGAGTAATAAATGCACAATTCAATTGCATTTGTAGAGTAAACCTTTTGTGGGTAAACAAAGTAATAAGCAATAAAAAAGATATGATATGCCTCTGTGAGACTAGTCAATGGTAAATTATCTCTCTGCAGCTCAAGTTTCACAAAAACCAATGTGCAATAAAAGATAAAGCAAAAATACTATCTATTACTGTTAATTTTTACTCCAGAAGAAGTACAAGTGTTTGAAAATTACAAAGAATTTGTTCATAGCAAGAAATACTCCATAGAGTATTCTTCCAAATCTTCAGTTTTCTGTTTGGGTGTTTGATGTTTGTTTTTTCTCCCAATTTACTTAAAGGATGATTTTTAAGTTACTGCCTATGGATAATTTAAATCAAATATGATAACTAAAATGATTAGACAAAGCGTAGTATTTCATAATCTTATAGTTTTCTAGAGGAAAACGTTCATACATGCAAACATATAAGCATCCTTACTTTACTGTCAATCCGCATAATTTGCAAGAGGGAATAGTTACGTCCAACTGTTCCGTGAAGTTCAAATATTTTAATAGCACAGCTCTTACTTGAAATTGTAATGGAGTAATTGAATTGTGGAAAAAGCTTTTCAACCATCTTGGCTTCGCATTTGCAATTTGCCAAAAATAAAAAAACCGCAGTCCACGAATTTATGGAAAACAGCTCTAATGGACATTATCGATCGAATACGATACAAACTAAAAGGCACGTAATCGCAAGCGGAAAATGTGTTTGGCTAAATTAAAAGAGAAATCCTGGAAACGACTGATCAGGTCAGGTCTTCTCTATAACACTGGCTGAAGCTTAGGCACATTTAGGCATATTTCTGTTAATAGAGCCGGGAATGTGACGTTTCTTTAATATCATCCTCCATTACTCATTTATGTCTCATAAATCCAAAATCTGTGCCACGTTCAGCCAATTCAACATATTACGTAAATAACAATGATGCATGGCCAATGCAATTCGAACCAAAAAAGCCACACCTGTAGTGCACAACAGAGCCGCACACGCACCACACACCACACCTACACTCCTTGAATGCGTGTTGCACACAAAGCACATTGTTTGCTGTGGCCAGAAGATAAAAGTGTGACAACCCTGCAACTCAGCCCATGCACACAGGCCAAGCCCCTCTCTGGGGGCACGGACAACGACCACATTCACGTGCAATGAACCATTTTTAGGCAGATTGGCCATCGCTGGAGCCAGAGAGGCAAACAAAAACATTTCCGTTCTACCTTCTGCGCTTCAAAATGTTGCAAAGAATGGGGGAAAAAATAACAAACAAATGACAAACAAACAAAAAATAACTACACAATAACTACAACAATAACAACAGCAACAGCACAAAAAGTGAAATGTCTGGCAGGCCATCGAGCCGGGCTGCGTGGCATTTGCATTCAAATGGATGTCCATAAAAAGAATTGACCGGACATTGGGACATTGGCAGATAGAACAAAACCGAAGGCACAATGGGGCGTACGAAACATTTCAATAAATAAAACATCAATTTTACTTCGCCGAATAAATATGCATACATAAATCAATTTTTGAAAGAGAAATTTCAATAACAATATAAAATGTTTTCCACAATTGTAACAATTGAACAAAATTCAATCTTCAATCCAAAGTCTTTTTAATCAGAAATTTTGGAAAAACTTGCATATAAGAAATAAGTGTTTAATGAGGCTAACTAATACTAAGTATTTCGTTTAAGAGATTTTGTAGACCATTACTTATATGTTTAGCATATAACGACCTATTCAACTGCTTTAAAACATACATATGTATGTCTCTGAGCTATCGAGAAGCCGAACTGATAACCAAAAATCGGTCTCATCGGTCGATAATAGTGACTGATTTTTTAATAAAAAGCTGAATTTTAGCGAGAAATTATGCTCTTTTCGGAAAATTGAATTTTCCCATGAAAGGAAAGCGCTATGAGTTGATTGGAGTGCTTCAGTACGTGGTATTAAGACGGAAGGCGATTATATATAAAATATCACTTCTGGGTTCTTATTTTTAAAAGGTCTTGTTTATGTACTATGGGACGCAGAAAATACTACACTACGCAACAAAATAGGCTATTTGATCTCGTATGACAAGACGAGTCGATATAGCCATGTCCGTCCGTCTGTATGATCGCAAGAATCTACTTGCTGAGACAAGAGCTAGAATAACCAAAGGAGCCGATATAGCCATGTCGGTCAGTCTGTCCGTCTGTATGATCGCAAGGATCTCAGCAAGTACAAGAGCTGGAATACCCAAATTTCCTAGACAGATTACTTTTTTGTATATATATATTTTGCCTAATTTATTTAAATTAATTCTAAAACGAAATTGTAAAGTTTTTACTTTTTTTTGGGAGACAGACATTGTTTTTAATTGCTGCTCATCCTAACTTTTGAAATAAAACAAGAAAGGAATGCTAAAGTCGAGCAGGCTCAACTCTTAAATACCCTGTACCACCCCACAAAAAAGTAATTAAATTAATTAATTAATTTAATTAAATTAATTAACTAAATTAATTTAATTAATTAACTAAATATTAACTAATTAAATATAAAATATTCCATGCATGCATACATACATTTACAATTACATCAGAATCGTGTCTATGCGTGTTTGTGTACTTGTACATATGTATGTATGTGTGCATTGAGCCTGGTTATATGGCTATAACTTTCTTTCCGATCATTCTATCATAATGAGACTTGGTATACGGTTATATAATTACTAACCTAATGTGACTACCAAATTTTAATTCAAAATTCCAAGAATTACGGGAGTTATAGAAAATCGTTAATAGGGGGGGAGTGGGGGGGTGGATCAGAAAAAATGAACAAACTCGTCCTTTCTCGGTCTCAGGAGAATCTGTATACCAAGTTTGGTTATTCTAGCTCTTATACTTTCGGAGATCCTTGCGTTCATACAGACAGACAGACGGACAGACGGACATGGCTATATCGACTCGGCTTGTCATGCTGTGCACTCGCACTAAACTAATATACCCTTGTACCCTTTGGGTACAGGGTATAAAAAGGAAACATCAATAAAATTTCTAAGCAAATAAATGAAATAAATTTCAGAAGAGGAACAGGCCACTTTTTGGAAATTGTTCTACATACTTGAGGAATATAATCATTGTCTAATCACGCACAATTTTCGATTTCACATCGCGAAGCAAATCTTTTGAAATTAAATTAAATCTTTTGAACTTTTTGTCAAACCCAAGTTAAAATCCGTGCCATTGTGTCGCGACCATCAAAACCAATTGCAAGCGAAATGGAAGTGGAATTTTTTACTCCTGCCGAATTGCTATGCATAATGCGACCGCCACTGCTACTGCGACTACGATTGAGTTGAGTGGCAAGTTTTAATTGAAGTGCAGAGCTGAACACCCCCAGACGAGTCTGGAGGCTCAACGAACTTACCATTTGCATTGGCAGCTGCCTCCTTGCTATGCAGGATGTCCGATAGCGACAGGGAGGAGGCAATCAACTGGCGCTTCTCCTCAAAATTAAGAAAATCCATGGAATTGCTGCGTTGTGGCGTCACTGTGATTGTCACCGATTTTTGCATTTTGGCCACCACGCACAGTTGCTGCTCCAATTCGGCGGCGGCGGCAGCAGCTGCTGCGGCGGCGGCACTGGACGTATCGGACTGCAGATCCGTACCATCGGTGAGATCCGGCGGTGGTAGAGCCTGTGTGTGATGAAACGATTGCAGTTGCAACTGTTGTTGTTGCTGCTGCTGCTGCTGCTGTTGATGTTGCTGCTGTTGTTGCTGCTGCTGCTGCTGCTGCTGCTGGTGGTGTGCGTGATGTTGCTGTTGGCTGTAATAGGCAAACATGGGCTGTGCTGTTGCCGCACTGTACGAGGGTGGACCCAGTCCGGTGGCACCGGCTATCGGGGAAATGGGCGCGTGAGCAACACGCGAGGCGGCGGCCGGCGATAATTGATAGCCGCCATGCGATTGCTGCTCACCGTTAATGGCTGCCACAAGGGTGGCCAAATTGTTGCGGCTATTGTGGGCGTTGGTGCTGCTGCTGTTGCTGTTGCCGTTGCCGTTGTTGGTGCCGTACTTTTGGCCAGGGGGCGAGGTGGCCAGCTGCAATTGTTGCGCCTGAAATTTGTGCTGCTGCTGCAGCTGAGCGAGCAGTTGTTGCTGTTGCTGCTGATATACCAGCGGCGGCGGTGCTGTGGCGCTCAAATGTTGCAGCTGCGGTGAGTGTGGAGGCGGTCCATGGCCGCTATTGCTGTTGCTGCCTGCACTGCTGTTGCTGTTGTTGCTGGCCGTCGACTGTTGGCTTTGCAACTTGTTGCTGCGCAGCGACATCTTGCTGTCTTCCCCGTCTAGTGCCTTGTGGTGACGATGTTTGTTGTTGTAATGTTGCGAACGCGTGCGACTTGTTGTTGCTGGCACGCAATTCTCATGTTGCGTTTACACTAATTGGACAGGAATGAGAGGAGGACGACGTCGTTGTTGCTTCTCTGCTGCGTGGTTGGCTTGTCATCGGTCTCATCTATGATTGTTGTTGCTTGTTTGTTTGCTTAATTGTTTAATTAGCTGCAGACACATACACACACATACACTAACACACACTTGCTGGTGTGTCTAGATAAGAGGGGAGGCGCGGCCTGCTTTTGCAGTTTACACAGTTGCGTGTTTTGTTGGCACTTCACTTTTTTTTTCCTTTTGCTAAATTCACTTTTTGTGTGTCATTTCTTTACTTAGCTTCTCGCATTATTTGTTATTTTCACTTTTAATTATTAATAACTGCAATTAAGGAATTTCTTAGTTAAACAAGCGTCAGAATTGAACCTCTTTCTTTCTACTTCAAGTATGTGCCAAGTGCAAATAGCTAAAAATTAATTTATATTTTGTCAGAGTGTCTTGCCGTTTCAAGTTCAGAACAACAATAGCAATTAAAATGTTATTATTGATTTGTATCTATTTATCAAGTCTTGTCGATTTGGAATGACAACTAAGCAGTTGATATCGAAAAAGCCCACTTTGTTTCCCAAACAATATTTTAATCATGCTACACACAAAATATAAATCAAATATTATATATATTTGCATTCACAAAAATGGCGTTCTTGGTGATTTTAAAATCAAAATCACAGAAATCTTTAGAGCTACCGAGCGAGTTTCTTTCAAAAAAAAAACTAAAAGTGGGGCAACCTTCGGAAAGCCGTCTATCAGAATATATTTATTTATTTATTCATTACAAATAAACAATTAACTTGCCTTCACATAATTGACACTCTAAGCGATTTCTAAATCAAAGTGTTATCTGTCCTACTGTGGAATTGAGTGACATTTTAGAAGAAAAAAATGGGTCGACCTTCACAAAATATCTACCAAAACAAATTATTACATCTATAGATAAACAATAATAGGTACATACATATAATCATACACAACACGAGCTCCCAAACAACGTTTGAAAATGATCGAAATTAGTATCCAAAATCAAAATTAATGATTAATCAATAATTACCAACTAAGTCTGTGAAAAAATTGCTAAATGTTAAATTGAAGCAACAAAAGTATTGTCAACGTCATATCAACTCTAATTTATTTGCATTATTTCAAGTTTTAAAGTTTTATATCTTTCAGAAAAAATATATACTTATTTGAACTTTGCTGTATAAACTTTGTTAAAAGCTTTCAAATATTTACAGGATAAGAATTGCCCAATGGCTTACAAAAAAGTTCTAGAAAAGGCATTCCTTAAATTGAAAGATATTTTTGGGTCCCTGAAGTGGCGTTTCCAACACGAAAATGCCTCAATACAAAAGGGATAGCGTTGTGAAGACGTGGATTCAAACCGGAGAAGGGAATTTGCTTCAGTGGCCTCCATATTCCCCAGTCCTTAATATTGTTTTTTAGAAAAGTGTACGAAGCAGGAAGAAGCTATGTTCTAATAGTAATTGGAATTGTTTTAAAAACAATTTAAGATTCCCAGTATTTTGGATTCAAACACAGTAAAAAGCAAATTATTGGATGTTCTTATTCAAGAGACGAGCAGTGTATTTGCGCTTTCAAAACTAAAACTACATTTATTTAAACTGTGTAAACAAATTTCTGTTTTTTTTGTTCAAGCTTTAAATATATTTCTGCACCGGCGACGTCCTTCGACTTCGATTTACATTATTTGGCAATTTTTAGCAACTCTAGATTTCGCTACACTATTTTCGTTTATATTTTGGTTTTCGTTGAAATACTGAAATACTGTAACTTCTTAACAATCTGATCTAAGCTAAGTATCTTCGCATTTGGAACAACTGTCTGGCATCATATCTATTGCTGCCATTTCAATGGCACTTGTCACTCCATTTCTGCAACTTGAAGTCATTTTTCAATTTTTGCGACAGCCAGGCTTTTGACATTTTTACACATACACTTACACATACACACACACACACACTTATTACATACAAATGTACATACGTATGCAGTATGTAGATACATATGTAGAGTGTTTCACATGCGAATTTATGTCGTGTGATAAATTTTACAAACCGCACAACGGCACACAACGCATAAATAACATACAAGCACATACACATACAATTAAGCAAACAAACAGACAGACAGAGAGACAAACACACAGACAGACGGACGGACGGATCGACAGACGGACAGATAGACGGTGGCAGACAGCCACTTGGAGTGTCATTCAGCAAAATGTTTTCAATTTTATGAAAATTAACTGAAAATGCAATGCGCATGCAACCATAACACGTCCGACAGACTTTTCTGCAGAGGGCGGGGGGGAGGAGGGCAAGGATGGGCGAGTAGGCACGGCAGCCACAAAAACAAAAACAACAACAGAAGCAATCACAACGGCCACTTGTCGTCATCAAAAAACAACAACGTTGCGGTGTCGCCGCCGGCTTCTAGAAAAGAGACAAAAGACTGAGAAAGGGAGACGAGAGATGATGATGAAGCTGCAGCGGAGACTGCATGAAGATGAAGGAAATGGCCCGACCACTTGACTGCAAACAAAGGGAAATGAAACGAATTGTTCCAAAGACAAAACTGTATAACAGGAATACTCTTCATTTTCTGCTTCTTCTTCTTCTAGCGAATAGGGGGTGGTGTTGGATGGAGGCGGCAAGTCCCTGTAATGGCTTTGCCCCGAGCGGCGCATTGCAATTGAAGTGGTTGTCGATGAAAATGACTGTGAATTGTGGAAAGGAGAAAAGGCGAAAACATAACACAATACCACATAATGTTTCGAAACGTTTCAAATACAGTCATATAAGTAAGTATATGTACACACGCATGTGTGTGTGTGTGTGTGTGTGTGTGTGTGTGATTTTAGGAAAAGCCTGTAACTAATGGCTGCAGCCCTCCGGCTAAGCCAGCTTTGCAGACACATGTGCCGCGGTTTTCCGAACTCTTGCATTGGACAACTTTGGTCCTTGGGGCAGACTCTGATGTGCAAACGGAAATATATTGAATCATATTTAAGGAAATTGGCTTCAAAAAGTATTCAATAGCTTCGGGGTAGTACATGAAGAGTTCATTCTGTTAGGAATTTCAATTTATTAAATTTACTTTGCATTTCTACCAAAAGAAGGAAGATATTCAACAGATATTAATATTGATTTACGTATTAGAATCAATCGTAGCACATTTTTAATAATCTACATTCAAGATCCTCCGTTGCAAGCATTTCTAAACTGGTTTACTTTGTTTAAATAGGGAAAATTGAAGACTTTGTAGGAACTCTCTCTAGGTAAATAATATCAAACTCTAGCAAAACTTTTGAATGTTGGGGAAGCTTCCAGTAGTATAAGGAATATAGAGGCAATTGTAGAGCAGGCGAATTAGAAGCATTATCGTATCTGCAGAAAAAGTTAAAGAAGAGAGCTAGATTTTCACAATTTCGAGATTATATATAAATGCTGATGATGAGAATGTTTTATATATTTTAAAAGTATGTGTAAAGTGAATAAAGAGAGCTAGATTTTTGAAATTCCAAGATTTTACAGAACCGAAATCATACAGACAGGCTGATGAATAGACCACAATAAGTATATTTAATATACTTTATATATAGCTGCATAGAAAGTAAATGAAGACACTAAAACCTTTTGAGATGCTACAGTAACCGGGATCATACATTATTAAAAATAATATTTGGCTATTAGATTTATTATACACCTAATTCTGTTTTCACACGGTACATTAGTTCCTAAAAAAAAGTCTTGTAAGAAGAAACCCTGTAAAAAGACATTCATGTGGAATATAGTCGTGTAACCATATATAAATTTATTTATTTTCAAACCGTGTTAAATCAAAACCGTGTAAAAACTAAATTTTGTGTTTAAGGTATATCTAGATAGCAAACAATCACATTAAAACCACAGATTTGGGTTTGGTTTGCACAAACTAGTTCAAACTGAGTGCTATAAGCCCAGTAATCCCTATAAAATATTGGCCGCACTCCAACAAAGTCACAAGAATCCAAGAGTCGCTGCAATCTACTTGTATATCCCAGCAAAGTGCAACACACTCAGTCAGCAGTTTCGATAAATCACTTCAGGAGAGACATTCCACATTCGTGGCAGAGCAGAGTCGTGCATCAAAGCCAAAGCCCTCTTGAAGCAGTTGTTAGTAAAAGATAAAGCGATTTCAAGCATTTTCGGGCAGGACAACGAGGAGCCGGCAGCATTTCGATTTCGACTTGCCGCCAAACAGACAACAGGCAAATCTTATTAGAATACACACAGCTCAGGGAAAAGGCAGATGAAGTGGGAGAGCGGAGAGCCGAGGGTCAGGCGGACAGGTAGGACAGCAGGTAGGCAAGATATAAGCAGTCGAAACAGCAAATGAAGAGCACACAAAGTTCACTGAGTTGGAAATACAGATACAACTACAGACACACACACACACACACGCAGCACACAACACACATTCTTTGAGTTACAGATACAGACAGACGACAACAGACAGCTGGACTGACAAACAGAGAGCGGCACGCAAAGTGCACAGGTAAGCAAAATGTCGGCGACGAAAACGATGATGAGGACGACGACAGGATACACACAGCGCCAGAGTGGCAGAGTTGCCTCCAAAACTTGCCCAAACTGTGCAGACAGCTGGCTGGCTGGCTGACTGGCTGACTGACTGACTGAAGCAACAACAACAATAACGTGAACAACAATAGCAGCAAGAGCGACAAGGCAGACAAAGGCAAAAGGCGTTGCACGCCGAGAAATACACTAAGAAAAAATTCCATTATGGAACAATGTATGTACCTAATACTAAATATAAATATTTATCAAAAAATCACATTAAAAATAGATTTGGGTTTAGTTTGCACAAACTAGTTCATACTGAGTGCTATAAGCCCACTAATCCCTATAATATATTGACTTATTATAAATATTTATTAAAAAGAAATATTTATTCAAATGAAAATTAGTTCAACTAATCATTTTGGTTTGGTTTTATATATTTACCTAACATTTAATTTATATTTGATGTTCTCTTTATGGACATCTATACAATTTATGTAAACGTTATATGACGTTATATACAAGAACTGAATGGACACTACAGCCTTCCAACTAATCTGTTGGTACCAATAGGAACATACAGATCTTTGTTTGAAGCAAATAACTATTAGTTTAACTAAAATGGGCATTGAATTTTTATTATTCTAAGATTATTTAACAATATTAATTCTTTGTTTTAATATATATATTTCTTCTTTATTACTTTTAACTATAAATTTCTTATTTCAACAAAGAAAATGC